TAACTTCTGAATTATCTCTCTACCTGAACCTTGCTTTATACCTCCATTTCTTGACCACCCTGAGCTGGATGCCTCTTTTCCTGTGACCTGCCATTCTTTGCAACCATGTCTTTCTTAGATTGAACCTTGGTGGGGAATGATCTGTGGCTCCAGCATCTTTTTCTTTTTTTGGTCTTCAGCTGTTCCAGGGAGCAGATTCACTGTTGCATCCTGTGGCTCAGCTCAATGTAGTGTCAATGCTCAACATGTACTGAGCGTGCTGTTTGTCCAGTGTCACACTGGTAATTCAGGAACTTCATCTTATTTTGCTTCCCAATGCTGGAAATTGCATGTAGACCTGTGCATGTGCTAGGCAAACACTCTATCACTGAGCTGTATTCCCAGCATCCCTCTCCTTTTAAACCATTTTATACAAAGTTAATTCTGCTTAGTTGAAAAAGTTCTGGTGCAATCTGAAAGGCAGTACTTTCATGACTATTTCCAGATCATCGATTTAATTTACTTTCTCTATAATCTGTCTAATTCATTATCTCCCATTTTAGTATTCCAGGAAGCCAGCTCTGAGAGACGATATTAAATGAAGATTCTGCCTGGAAACACGTTATTCAGTCTGGCACGGTATTAAGTTAGTGGTTCAGCACACGGGTGCTGGGACAATGGCACTGGGGAAAGGTGTTTTCACTGTGCTTGCTTTTTCCTATAAACTAGGACTAACAACAGTGTTCCTCCTGTAAGGCTATTGTCAGGACTTCCTGAGTATTACACTAAAGGTTTTAAATAGTGCTAGCAACAGATAGAGTACTGTTACTAGCCGAGTTTAGCAGTTTTTCTTTCTTGCAGGCTTTCTTTTGTTTGCTTCCTACAGGACTGCTGCTATTCTGTAATGGTCCTGGTTTAACTGCGAATCTCCTAACAGAATACAAATTTGTCTGATGAAACATACTAGCATATTCTAGTGTAGAGTACCTCAGAACAAGCTTTGGGAAACTTATTTAATGAATGTAAAAAATAATAACATTAGTCAACAAGTATGGATTCAAGTTGGGGGCCATTGAAGACTTAACATTTAAATGAGCTTGGTTCTAGCAATCACAAAAACAAGCAAAGAGAGCCAAGGCCTATGTTGTATCAGTTTTTATAAGCTCTTTAAGGAAAACTAAATTATGTTCTTGATTGATTCTAAACTGGCCACTGAAAATATTGCTCGAAACAGAAAAACCATCTAGGTTTTTTGCACCAATTTACAGCACAGTTGAAAATGTTTTACCTGTAAAAGATGAAAGGCGAGACTATCATCTTAAAAACTTGTGCCATTTATCTTAATTCTGGAGTATCTGATAAGAACTTCCTCAAGAGCCAGGAAACTTTGCAAGAATTAAATAATCTGAAAGGAGGAGGTGAAGAAGGAAGTGACTGACCAGAGTAAAAAGAGGAACAGTTCCCAGCCAAAGCGGTTTTGATGAACCCATGACAGAGGTAGCCTAGCACTCGAGTTTTGATGTGAGTGAGAACCTGATTTAAAGCGTCTGGGAAATAAAAACCGGTAAGAACTGAATTCATTTTTGATTAATTAGTGATATTTTAACATGTCAAATACAGGTTTTATCATGTCAAATACAGGTTTTAGGACAATTGCCTTATGTAGTCCTAGTAAACAATTTATAAGCTGAGGGTGTAGTTGATGTTTCTTTACATAGGCATGAGCTCCTGCAAGCTAAGGGCCTACTGCATGTGTTTGTTTTGTTTCTAGATAGAAAGTCAGAATTGGAAGTCAATTTTCACTTTATAAACAATCTGTGATTTTAAGAAAAATGAGGAATTATTAGGTAATTTGCTGAAGCCTCCGTTTTCCAAAGTTAAAGCAGCCTTCTTTCAGGTTGGGCAAGGTGAACCTCATTTAAATGTTAAGCTATTATCTCCTAAGGTTTTCCTATAAAGTTAGTTTGAAGGAAGGGAAAGGATATATTTCTTTGGCTGTAAGTCTTCCCAACTTTACCTCAATGAATTCTTTGTCCACGATTTTTATTTTAGAAATGTACTGGAATGTCTGCTCTATAAGGAAAAATATAAATGATAAAAATAAATTCTCCTTTTAGAACTTGAGAGGGAAGCTTGCTCTCTTATCTTCAGCTGCCTAAGGGACAACTGTCGGCCATGCAGAAAACCGACTCCCATTCTGCTGCAGGCTTACTACCTCCCTAAACATGAATTCATTCCACTCAAGATTTGAAATTTTCCTTTAAATGTATTTCAAACATTCTGGCAAGTGCATATATAATTATGTATGATGCAAAAATATTAAGATCTATTCTCATCGGTCCAGAAAGGAAATGAGGCCCTACTTGCGAAAGTCATTTGATTAAGCATTTGTCCTTGACCATTACATCCTGTCTGACCTTGTAACGGTGGAGCTCTGTGGACTGATTTATTTTTCTTTTATTAACTTTCAAGTCAGTGTACAAAATACATTTCACTATGACATTGTTATACATATATAATCATTGTATCGTGTTCATATTTGTTCCTTCCCACTCCTGCTGTAGACCATGATCTGTAAATATTTGTTGTTACTGTTTTTTTGGAGGGTGGGTTTTGGTTTGGTTTGTTTGTTTGTTTTAGACAGGGCCTAGCTGGCCTCAGCCTCCCTAGTACTAGTATCAGAGAGCCTTGAGCCACCCCATCTGGCTCAGACCATAAAACTCATATGGTGACCAGATCATACTGTTCTCAGCCCCAATCTACTCCCCAGAGTTCCAAAGAAATTAAGAGTTATCTAAGTTGGGAATGTTGTTTGTCCCTACATTTTTATCAGAGTTTATAAGTAAACTGTATGCCCCATTCTATTTGGTTATATGAAATGCCAGATTGAACATTTGCACAGTGATATAATCTGATCTTGAAGAAATTTATGAAGTCATTATTACACATGAGTACTCACTGAAAGCAGGGCTCTACTTTGTGAGTTTTGTTTTTCCTCCTTTCTGTTGTTATTGCTATTCTAAGCAAATGATTCCATTTATTAACAGATACATAATGTATTACATTAGCTCTCTCATGGCTGGTGCTGGTGCTGGCAATGCAGAGGTAAATAAGATATGGTTCTCAGATCAGAGTTAGTTAAGTTATAAATATAGTGATGGCAGTCATTTACAGATAAGGAAAGTATTGGGGGAAAGTTTTATTTGACTTCTGATTCAGTCACTTCTTACTTGTTAGGAAAGTTAGTGATCTATAAGCCTCCATTTTATTATCTATAAAATGAGGATAACAATAGTACCCACAAATGACAGCTGTAGGATTAAGTGAGATAATCCACATTCAAGTGTTTGGAGCTGACTCAAAATAAGTTCATCAAATATGACTCATGATGACCTTTAATAGAGTATGACAAAAATGCTACAAGCACTATTTAAAATATTGGCTCTAGGTAGGCAGGAAGTCCCAGCTGTAGCCGAGGATCTATTGGCAATTGATAGATGCTGAGAGAGAGAGAGTCAGTTTTCCTTTCTGGTGGGACCCCTGGTAAGTTGATCAGACTCCAGGGGATGGATCCTCATCTGAGAGCATTTGGGAAACACAGATTACACTCTGTGGGCCTTAAAAAGAAAGACAGATAATAATAGGGGACATGAAGTTGGGGCCATGAGGAGTAGAGGTGAGGAGGGGGAGTATGTTAAAAATAGATTGCATGGAATTCTTGAATCAATAAAAATATTTTAAAATATTGGCTGTAACTGTTCCTAGGTCTAGCCTGAAAATGTGTAATAATAACGCCTTGTTGATAAAAATCACAATAGAAAATTCTGTCTGATTCTATACTTCATGCTTCTCTCCTTGATATATTAAATCTTCACCAGGACACTGTAAAATTGCTTTAATTAAATCAAAATTATCTGCTGATGGGTGTAAGAAGATTTATGATAAAAAGCAAAGATACTTTGCTTTACTTTCAAGATCGCTTTTTGTGGTTTAAGAATAAGTTATACACCCTTTAAAGGACATAGCTTGAATGTGAAGTGCTTAGTTACTGAGGTTTGGAGTCATCTTTCGTTCCAAGAAGCATTGACTGAATGCCTTTTTTGTACTAGGTGTCTTTATTTTCTCTCAGAATGTAAAGATGGAAAGAGCTGATCCCTGCTTGCTCTTTGACCAGGTAGGAGCATGCATTGCTCTTCATTTAAGGTACTATGCTGTGTTGGAGAATGGACTGGTCTCTGTGGGACTGCAGTGGGAGTGGGAGGAGTGACCAGGGAAATGGCATAGCCTCCATCCACTCTGAACAGGGGCAGACAACAAGGTTTCACAGAGGAGATGTAAGCAATGGTGTGGTCACACATGGGTAGTTTGGAAGTATTCCTGCTAACTGCTGGAAGAATATTTCTTTTCACTGGAAAATTATTCTTATTGTCAAAAACTGTGTTGAGTCTGAGCAATACAACCAGTCAGATCTGGGCAGGGGTGAAGTCTTCACTCTCTCCTCACAATAGCTCATTTTTCTCTACAACAAAATCCAGAACTGACTGCATGGTGGTAGGTATGATAGGTTTATAATTATGCTAGGTACTAAATATACAATTAATATGTTTTTGATTTATACTAGGTTTCTGGATGACAAATCATTCAGCCTTCCTTTTCTTGAGTTTCCTACCCTGCTGTTGTCCTGCACTCATCCCTGCTTCCGTTTGTGATCCACTGAGAGAAAAGGAAGTGGAGTGGAATCAAATCCCCCTGATAGAGTGCAGTTGTACATTAATGGTTGTAAAGTAAACAGCAACCCACACAAAAACAGCCATCTTCAGAAATTAACTTTACTCAATCTTACCTTTAGTTGCATTAGAACTTTACCACATAATGTCCTTTCAGATCTGAAGAAGAAATGCCTGAAAGAGCTTCCAAACTCATTTTTGAAACATAGTAGGCTGCAAGGAATTACATCTGTCTGCGCCTGCGAATTAATTGGCCATAGCACCCAGCCACTGAACAACGCTGATTGTGCTGAAATGTTGAAAAGCTGTGGAAGCACCTCACTGGGCATCGCTGTGGGTGTTTTCCTTCTTGCACTCTTGGTGGTCTGTGGATTTGGATGTGTTTGGCACTGGAAACATCGTGACACCACAAGATTCACCTTGCCCAAGTTTTTGCAAAGGAGAAGCAGCAGAAGAAAAGACTACACAAAAACCCTCTGCTTGAGTTCTTATGTTACTAGCTCAAGTCCTAAGACCTCAGTGGAAACCAAAGGCCACAAGTCTACAGCCGAGGGAACTCAGATGCACGACAACTATGAAAATGTGGAAGCAGGGCCTCCCAGAGTCCATGGTCCAGCTGACAATGCACTGTATGGAAACACTCAGCTGTATGAAAACACTCAGCTGTCTAATCTGGAGGAGTGTGTCTACAGAAATCAAGGATCCTCTCTCTACTACAATGTCCAGAATCCCAACTCCTCCGCAGCTACTCAAGATGAAGATATATATATTCTTCCAGATTCCTATTAGCTTTCAAAGCACTGAGATTCACTGCTGGGCATTTTACTGGACTGATGTCATTACTGATCAAGTTCTGATGAAATTCAAAGGTCTTTCTTCTATCTTCATCCTTGTAAATCCTCTCTAAGTTGATCACTGCCAACAAATCCTAGAAACTTCTCCTTGCCTGCCTTGCATTATATCTATGCTATATAATATTGATTCTTTCTTCTAAATACTTCCCGGTACAGCTTTTCTTTATCTGTACCTTTATCGCCTTTTTCAGACTTGAGCTTACTAGCACAGTCTCCTAGAAGATTGTCCTTGTTTTGCTGTGTGGGAGTGCTAACCTTTCACGTGCCTTTTACATTCCAGGCAAGGGCTCTACCACTGGGCTACATCTGCAGCCTATTCTTTTGCTCTGATTTATACCCAATCAATGGCTTTGAAGTTACAGGTATTACCTTCAGAAAATATTCATCACTTCTCTGTTGAACCCTTTTTAATATCCTGTTTTCAAAAGACATAGTGTCTATAACCCTCACTTCAGCATTAATGACTTTTAAGTTTCTTACAACTTACTTTTCCAGTGATTTCATCCAAGAAGCCCTCACTTCTTGCTTTTATCAGAGTCATCTCAAAAGCTGCCAACACTGCCCCTCCATGGCAGTGTCTACCTTCTCAAGCCTTCCTCAGCTCATAATTTCTTCCACTAGTCCTCTGAATCATTTCAAATCTACATTTACTATTTCTGTTTCCAATATTCTTGCTGCCTATTTAATTCTTTGAGCATTTGAATGCATGAATATTTGCTATGCATTTTATTACTTAATGTAATATGAGAATATCTTAAATCACCAGCTATGTAGAAAGGAGATGGTTCATACTCATACTTTTAGTCCCAAAGACATCATATAAGTAACTAAACGTCTGGTTAATTGGTGAAAATTGAATTCTACATTTTGCTATGTAGTTTTGAGAAAAAAAATCAAATAAATTCACTCATTTTTCATCTAAGGAATATTTATTGAATGCCTTGTAACTACTTATTATGATGCATGTACTTGTTAGTGTAGTGTGTCAGGCAATTAGAGGATGGAAAGAGGGCTTGTTGCAAGTGTTAAAAAAAAAAAAAAGAAACAAAAGTCCTGAACACATACTGCCTAGTGGGAAAGAAAAGACAATAAAAGAATATCATGTTCATTATGAAACTGGATATCTAAACTCTAAACACAAGCTTCCTGAATTGCTTGACCGGGTGGGGACCTAGAAAACTATCTTAATTTTTTTCAGGTGGCTCCTTAGGCTTTGTTGCCAGTAAGTTTGGAGAGGAAGAGGAGACAAAAGGAATTATCTGCAACAGGAACCCCTACCATGTGATTGACTCCAGCATCCCTGATTGTAGTTTCTAGTTTTAGACTCCTTACATTCTGTCAGAGACACCCACACCAGCCAGGCAACACCCTCCCTTCAACTCTGAAAATCAGCTCTCAGATCCTCTAGGTTCCATGGGTACCATCAAGAGACAAGTGTCATTCGGAGTTCTGGATCCCAGCCCTGCGGGATTCTGACATTCTGAGATACTAGTTCTAAGGTTTGTAAATATCTTCCTGTAGTTACTATTTCTGTGGTAACTTGTGCCCATCCTCAGCTTTCTTTCTTTCTTTCTTTCTTTCTTTCTTTCTTTCTTTCTTTCTTTCTTTCTTCTTTCTCTACCAGTACCTATTCAATTATGTAAATTCTTTCTGTTGAAACAAGCTAACAAGGTTTCTTTCCCCCAACTAGATCCAGGGTGATACAAGTAAAGTTGGTAGTGAAGGCTTTAAAGAAAGACAGAGAGAAAGAAAGAAAGAAAGTTTTTTTAAAGAAAGAAAGAAAGAAAGAAAGAAAGAAAGAAAGAAAGGATTCTCTATTTTTGAGAGCAATGTTGGTAGAGTGGAAAAGAGGGTTTTAAGTTTAATAAAATGATCAAAGAAAGTCTCTTAAGTCACACTTAAGATGAGAGCTTATGGTGAAAGAGAGCTATCATGTAAATATGATGTAAAGAGGGGTAAGAATAGACAAGAATGTCAAAAAAGCCTGAGACATGAAGGAATTTATGGCGCTCTCTGAATTTAAAGGAAGTAATTGTGACTGGAACATCCCAAGAAAGGGAGAGTTAATGAGCCACCATGTACTGCTGAAGGCATGCAATAGACCGTGTGACTTCTTGGCATGTGGCTTTGACTCTCTTATATGTGTGACTATGATTTATTCTAGGCACATCTGTATTAGTAAAGGGCTTTAAGCAGAAGTATGGCATGATAGCATTTGTGGTTTTGGAAAAGCTATTGAGTTGAATAATGACTAAAAAGAAGCAAAATGAAATACAGAGGATAATTTAAAAGGTTTTATAGTTAACTTAGACTGGAGCAGCTGAAGGGCAAATAAAGATATTGATAATGCTTCCCTGTTCTTTGTTATTTCTATTTATTTCTTATGTGTATGAGTGTACTACCTGTATGTATGTAAGCTCGCTCATGTAGTGCGATGTCCACAGAGGTCAGAAGAGGGCGTCTGATGCCCTGGAACTGGAGTTACAGATGGTTGTTAGTTGCCATGTGGGTGTTGGGATTCAAACCTGGGTCCTCTGCAAGAACAGCCAGTGCTTTTAGCCACTGAGCCATCTCTCCAGCCCTCCTTCTTTGTTCTTGAGCATGGGATTTCCAGATGGACTCAATATGTATGTTTTGTGTAAGAGTGGTAAAATTCGAAGATAAAGAGAAGAATCTAGAAGAACCACCTTGTCTATGGCTAGAGCAACAGGAACAATTGTAAAGGACTGCTAAAATGGGGCAGACTTAAAGAGGAAGCAGGGTAGGAGACTGGATCAACCAGAAATGAGATACACTGCCAATAACAGAGAACCAGATTGCATTGGCTTAGACATAGTAATTTCACTTATTGCATATAACAGCTAGGCATTCAGTGGTTAGTATACCCTCTCTGTGAAGTCATCAGCTCGATGACGCTACACGGAAGCATCCAGGCTCTTTCTGTAAGGTGTTTCCTCTCTCCATCTTCAGTGTTTCCTTGTAGTCTCCTTAATGCTTCCCTGTGGTCACATGTTGCTGAATTTCTATGCTTTGTTATTGTGCTCCTGCCAAGAAGAGGAATAAGGGAAAGATCTCTATCAAAGGCTGCTTGCTTATAATTCACTATTCGGAGTGTGGGGCACAGATGCTTCCAGGTGCAAGTATGAATAGGAAACTAAATGTTGATGTCTGATAGCCTCATGGAGACAGAGAAAACAGAAAGAGGGTTAGAAAGACTCTATGAATTTACAATAGTTGCCTTAGGGACAAAAAATAGTTTTGGACATATTTTTGGGCAAGCTCAAAATAGATCCTGATACGTACATAGAAATATCCAGTTTGTGGGTTATATGTCTATTTTTGGATTTTTGAACAGGGGGTTTCTTAACTGGAGGTTTAAGTTTGAGAACCATAAGTATTTAGATGAAGTTCGTAGGAACAGAAATGGGTATGATTACCCAAAGGGAGTCTCAAGAGCTTGGCCTAGGAAATATGAATGAATGACTATGATCTGTAAGAATGATGACTGATATTAGGAAATTTTTTATTCTAAGTTATCCATTATAACTAATTATCCAAAGTGTCAAGATAAAAAATTTCAGCAAAATGAACTGAAGTATCTAGTTGGATTTGATTAGCAATAAGTAAATTTGGAAATATCCATCTAAAGGTTTAGACAAGTGCTCCTTTGGGTACAACACACAGCAGTGAATGTTTATTAAATATTTTTATCAGTAACAAAGAAACAGAATAATACAAAAAAGATGATGGGTTGACACCAGGCTCCCTCAGGTTACTTTCCTCTAGAAAGTTAAGGCAGAGGGAACTTTCTTAAGCAGATTAAAATTAGGCTCTTGGATATCTGATTATCGTCTCTCTGCTACTTTCTCTGACAGCTAAGTGAATAACTTAGTTTCAGCTTGTTGGCATGGAACTTTAGCCTAAGTGACTCCATTTTGGTTTTTGGTCTTTTGGGACCTACTGAAGAAAGCCCAGATATATTGTCTTCAGGAAATCTTATTACTAACAGATAAGATGAATGGTTTGTCTTTGCATTTGCTTCTGTTTTTCTGTCTCTAATAAGAATAGAGAATGTTAAGGTTTGATTCTGATGTCCCCTGCTGGTGGCACTGTTAGGGAAAGTTGTGGGGCCTCAGTGGTAGAGGTGGATTACTGGGCTCAGCCTTTGGGGGTGCTGGTAACCAAACCTGGCTCCTTTGCAAGAGCAGCCAGTTCTCTTGACTGCTGACCTATCTCTACAACCCCTACAATGCACGCTTTTTTAAAAATATTTATTTATTACTTTTATATTATGCATATGAGTGTATTGCCTGCATGCATGTAAGTGCATCTATGTCTTGCAATGCCCGCAGTTGTCAGAAGAGGATGCTGGATCCCCTGGTACTGGAGTTACGCGCAGATGTTATGTGGGGCTGGGAACTGAACCTGGTTCCTCTGCAGGAATAGTCATTGCTCTTAACCATTGCACTATCTCTCCAGGCCCTTCAGTGCATTCTTTAACATGATATTTCTACTCCTTTTGGTGGAAAGTCGAAACCGAAAGTTGTCCGTGAGAAAGGTAATAAAATTGTGTATATGTATCGAAGGGAACAATTTGTAGTTGTCATATATTATTAGTAAAAGTAATCAAATGTCCTACAATTAAAAAGGATGTCTAGGTAGGGGAGAGGAGACAACAGCATCAACTACACTGGATATGATATTTCTGTGTACTCACAAGATGTGAACATGTATTGATAGCCTGTGGCTTATAGCAGCTTCACTTATTTTGTAGCCAGTATCCAGCAATAACAAACGCATGGCTTTTGACTTTGCCCTCAGCTCTATACCTTACTTCTCAACCTATTGTTGATCTCTACCACAAGAGAACCTTGTTTTCCATCAACAGCTTTGCTTTACAACCTCCTAGTTACTGTTCAGGCTAGAGAAGAAGCC